CTAAAAGGCCCTCGAGAGGCCCCGTAGAATCTCCAACATGCGTCCTTTAATCAACCTCCGTCACGCTGCGCTGCGGCGCTGGCAGGTTGGCGGGGTTTAACGCATTCTCTACGGGATACCCTCAGAAGTCTAAAACATGCATGCTTGAATCCCACCAGCCCTTAGGGCGTGAGTGGTTTGGCGAGCTTCCTCTTCAAACCCCCAATTCTTTCATGTCGGGGACGGGTTGATCACTGCCCCCTGTGAATAAACCTGGGCCCAGGAGCCCACCCCCACTATCTCTCCCAAAAAACAGTGCAACATACGTTTTGCCTCCAAACCTGGCACATGCGCGGACGCACTAAGATCACTTTGCGTTGGTTTTGAAAGAGACGGTGGCGAGGAGCATATTGCCTGCTGTGTGCAATGCTAACACCCCTCACCATCCCTATCAAAAAACAGGATACCGGAGAAAAAACACAATCAGAATTTGTTTGGGGCTATAGGGCTACAGGGTTATTGGGCTATAAAGCTACTATAGGGCTATAGGTCGATAGGGGCATAGGGCTATAAGGCTATAGACCTACAAGGCACCGGGCACCCGGGCACCCGGCACCCGGCACCCGGGCACCCACCCGGGCACCGGGCACCCGTCACCCGGGCACCCGGGCACCCGGGCATCCGAGCACCCGGGCCCGGCCACCGAATCGGCGGCGAACCCGGGCACCCGGGCACCCGGGCACCTGGGCACCCGGGCACCCGGGCCCGGCCACCGAATCGGCGGCGAACCCGGGCACCCGGGCACCCGTGCACCCGGGCCCGGCCACCGAATCGGCGGCACACCTCACCTACCCTTAAATCCGCTAGGACCCCTACAGAGGCAAGCTCTGATTGGAGAAATACGAAATTATCCCGGCAAAGCAACCTAACAGCGATGTGTAGAAGCATATCTGAAAGCATTCCCCTTAAGATTCAGATGAAAATCCAGTTGTAGAATTCTGCTGTTCTCGCAGTCGTAGTCGCATTCGCGATGACAGTCGCAGCGGCAACGGCAGTCGCAGTCACAGCCTCAGCCTCAGCCTGCCTCAGCCTCAGCCTCAGCCTGCCTCAGCCTCAGCCTGCCTCAGCCTCAGCCTCAGCCTGCTTCAGCCTCAGCCTCAGTCTGCCTTCAGCCTCGGCCTCAGCCTCAGCCTGCCTCAGCCTCAGCCTGCATCAGCCTCAGCCTCAGCCTCAGCCTGCCTCAGCATCAGCCTGCTTCAGCCTCAGCCTCAGCCTGCCTCAGCCTCAGCCTCAGTCTGCTTCAGCCTCAGCCTCAGTCTGCCTTCAGCCTCGGCCTCAGCCTCAGCCTGCCTCAGCCTCAGCCTGCCTCGGCCGCAGCATCAGCCTGCCTCAGCATTCAAAATGTGGCCCAGAATGGAGTTCTGGGAACTAGAAGAACACGAAGTGGCCTACAGTTGGCTCCGGGCATTCAAAATCATGCCCAGGAATGGAGTTCTGGGAACTCGAAGAGCACGAAGTGGCCTACAGTTGGCTCCGGGCATTCAAAATGTGGCCCGGAATGGAGTTCTGGGAACTCGAAGAGCACGAAGTGGCCTACAGTTGGCTCCGGGCATCCAAAATGTGGCCCGGGAATGGAGTTCTGGGAAGTCGAAGAGCACGAAGTGGCCTACAGTTGGCTCCGGGCATCCAAAATGTGGCCCGGGAATGGAGTTCTGGGAGCACCAAGAGCGATTTTGCGAGGATGTCCCAAGCGATTTCGGCTTCGGCGGCAGCCGTTCCGGTTCCCGCCCCGACCCCCCTGTGGAGTCATCTGCTGCTCTCTTTTGAGACCACTAGAAACCTATCAGCAAAAGCTGTTAGGTTAAAATGTTGCTTCAGCGAGAAGAGCAGCTACCTGGCAGAGGAACACGGGAAGTAAGGGGAGGAGGAAGAGGAGGAGAAGGGCAAGCTACGTTCGCTCGCGCCATATCTGACACCGTATACCCCCATCCCATCCCGTTCCATTGCGGTATGTTTGTCTCTATCCGCGGACGCGTGTCATAGCCAACCTGGCACGCCACAAAAGACCCCATCGTCTTATGCGCAGGCGGAAAAGGGAAACTTGTGCGGCCTGGGGAATCTCTGTGGCCTGTGGGGCCTATGACGTCTGCGACACATGTGAGACCTGTGGAACCTGTGGGACCTGTGGGACCTGTGGGAATTGTGGGATGACCTGCGAGACTTGCGAGACATTGGGACCCGTGGCACTGGCGGGACTTGCGGGACTTGTGGGAATTGGGGGACCTCTGTGGGACCTGTGAGACATGCGACACCTCTGGGACCTGTGGGACCTGCGGGACCTGTCGGACCTGTGGTACCCGTGGGGCATGCGAGACTGGCGACACCTGTGGGACCCGTGGAACCTGTCAGACTGGTGGTGCCTGTTGAACCTGTGGGACGACCTGCGGCACTTGTGGATCCTGTGGGACCTGTGGGACCTGTGGGGCCTGCGAGACCTGCGAGACCAACCTGCGAGACCTGCGGGATCCAGAAAGGTGGCCCACGCTGGGGCGGGAACGCCATTCTGAACGACGGGAGCACAACGCCGATCTGGGAATGAGGCCCACACCGCAACGAGAGCACCAAAACTGTAAACAGTCGGACGGCAAAAAACACATATGCCATGTGTAAGTTCGTCATGTTTGATTGTATGCGTATGTCTATATATGAGAGAGCATGATCCACCGCTGCTTTACTGAGAAAAAATCACCCCCCTCTTCCTCTGGAACCCGGGGGTCCCCTCCCCCCTCCGAAAATCCCCCCCCTCCTGCTGGACCCCCCCCCCTTCCCCCGGCAACCCCCCCCCTCCCCTACCCCCCCCCCCTCCGGAAAACCGAGGGGGGTCCCCCCCCCCTCCGGAAAACCGAGGGGGTCACTACGGGTTCGACCCCCCCCCCCCCAGAAAACCAGAGAGAGAGAGAGGGGGGTCACTACCGGTTCGAACCCCCCCCCTCCGGAAAACCCGGGGGGGTCACTACCGGTTCGAACCCCCCCCCCTCGAAAACTGTCCCCACCACCACTGTCCCCACCACTGTCCCACTATCCCCACTGTTCCCACCATTGCCCCGCTGTCCCCACCAGTGCCCCCCACCAGTAGTGTCTCACTGTCCCCACTCTCCCCACCATTGTCCCACCACGGCCCCACTCTCCCCACTTTCCCCACGGTCCCCACCACTGTCCCACTGTCCCCACTGTTCCCACCACTGTCCCACTGTCCCCGCCGCTGTCCCACTGTGCTGCCCCACCGTCCACACTGTCCCCATCACTGTCCCACTGTCCCCACTGTCCCCACCACTCTCCCCACTGTACTACTGTCCCACCACTGTCCTCACCACCGCCTTCACCACTGTCCCCACCACTACCGTCCCCACCACTGTCCCACTGTCCCCACCACTGTCCCGCTGTCCCCTCACCACTGTCCCCACCACCACCGTCCCCACCACTGTCCGCACCACTGTACCACTGTCCCCGCACCACTGTCCCCACCATCACCGTTCCCACCACTGTCCCATTATCCCCACCATTCTCCAACTGTCCCGTGGAGCGGGCATCATTTGCAGGCCAAAGGGGGGGGGGTCGAACCGGTAGTGACCCCCCCCTGGTTTTCGAGGGGAGGCGGGGGGTTCGAACCGGTAGTGACCCCCCCCCGGTTTTCGAAAGGGGGGGGTTCGAAGCGGTAGTGACCCCCCCCTTTTCATGATGGACTTGGGGGGGGGGGGGGGGGAACCGGCAGTGACCCCCTCCGGTTTTCCGAAGGGGAGGGGGGGGACGGGTTAGGAGCCCCCAGTGACCCCCCCCCTCGGTTTTCCGCCAGCAGCGGTAGAACACGCTCTGTCCTATCTATATACATATAGAGAGAGAGAGAGAGAGAGAGAAAGAGAGAGAGAGAGAGAGAGAGAGATGTGTGTGTATATGTGTGTAAAGCCAGTTCGCGATAATCCTATGTGAAAAAAACGAGACGCCGAGGGGGGCGAATGCTCTCGGGACAGAATCGAACCCAAACTTATTCACACTTGCGCCTGAAACGGTAAGGTCGCCGCCCTTCCAATACTCCCGGAGTTGAATCCTGCGGCCAGGCCACACCTTGCGGCAAGCGCCGTCGGGACGATCCGCGAGTTCGAGCAACCTGCTGCGAAGATGCCTACTCCCACTGGCTGGCTTCCGGCTGCAGGCCCGAGTGGCCCGAGGCAAGAGTGATCTTTGGTGCTCGGTTCGCGGGGGCTCGCGGGGGGCTAAGTCCAAGCGCGCAAACCAGTGCTGGCGAGACCCGTGTGGGCCCCGCACCAAGCCAAAATCACTCAGGCCAAGGGTCACTTTAACGCGTAGCCGACGCTGCGCCCCCGGAAACCGCATCAGCTCGCAAGGAGCTATCCAGGGAAATCATGTGACAAGACCAGATGGTTCTGACCGAGATCGTGGAAACCTCACCCTTGCAGCCCGCGATCGCCGATCCTTCATCACAGCGAGCAAATGCATACACGTCGTATGAGGGAGGGGCTTTTGACGGGAGGGGCTATTGAGGCATCAGTGGCGCGGGCTGAATTTACTTTTGACCACCTCCTCCTCCACCTTCAACCCTGACTCCGATTCATATTTTTTCAGCCCTGAGGTGCTATTCAACAGACCTGGGGCCTGGAAGCAAAGGGAGGGGCATGGCCATTGCAGGGAAGGCGCGCTTGATGGCTCCTGAGCATGTGGCACATTTCTGCTCTCCTGACATTTTTAAGCATGGAGAGGTGGGTACGGTCAGGAACTTTTGCTCAGCGTGTCGCCGCGGCGGCCCCAGCTACACACTATGCCCAGCAAGCGGATAGCGTGTCGCTCTGCTCCACGGGGCGGGAGGTTGGGAACAGCTCAGGACGCTGACGCTCGGGACTGAGGCGTGGATAGCGTCCCGCACCGAAGCGTAGAGGTCCAGAACCGGCTGCGCGAAACGCTAAACCAAAGTGCCCGACCGCACCCTGGAGGGAGACCGCGTGAGCCTGGCCCCAGGGCGCCGCCGACACGGCGCTGAGGTCGCCGCCGGAAGACGGGGACACCACGGAGTGGTTCGGGAGGTGGGGCGCCAGGTGCTTGCGGACACAGATCGGGCCGAGGCCTGGCTGCAGCAGAAGAGAAAACTGTGCAGACACAAACTTTCGGAGGCCAGCGCAGACTTCTTGGATCGGCGCTGACTCCCCTCACTGGCGCGGAGCGCGCCTGGGGCGGCGCCAGAAGCGCCGCCAGAGGGGGGTCCAGCGCCGATCCGAGAAATCCGCGTGGACCTCCGAAACTGTTGACGCTTCGCGTATCCCCACCAGCCCGTCCAGAAACGATGCCCAGGGGAGTTGAGGTGATCAGGGAAGTGGGGGAGCATGCACAAGAGCAGTGGACCTCCAAAATGTGACGTGCATGCATGCATGCAACACGCACCCAGGCAGACCCTGGCGAAACAGTTCCTGGGCCCCGAGTGGGCCCTGGGCAAGATCTGCCGGGGTGGCAACCACGGAAAGCTGGCGCGCACCTGGCCCCAGCCCCCGAAAGGTCTCCAGGGGACCCCCTAGCGGTCCTCCGGAAGGCCCAGGAGGCCCCCATGAAGCCCCTGGAGGCCCACCAACAACCTACATCCATGTATCCTCCCCACCTCCTCCTCCTCCTCCTCCTCCTCCTCCTCCTCCTCCTCCTCCTCCTCCTCCTCCTCCTCCTCTCTTCTTATTATTATTATTAATAGTATTATCATTGATATTATTATTATTAGCATTATTATTATTATGATTATAATTATTATCATTATTAATATTATTATTAATATTATTATTATTATTGTTATCATTGTTAGTATTATTAATATTATTATTAATATTAGTATTATCGTTATTATTAGTATTATTATTATTATTCTTATTATTCTTTCTTCTTAATAATATGCATATTCTTCTTATTAGTATTATCATTCGTATGCGTATTCTTCTTAGTATTATGAGTGTTCGTATTATTGTTAGTATTAGTATTATGATTCTTCTTATTGTTATTAGTAGCATTGTTCTTCTTATTATCATTATTATTAGTAATATTCCAATTATTAGTATTATGATTCGACTTATCCGTGTTCTTCTTCGTAATAATCTTATCACTAGTATTCGTAGTATTATTCTTTTTCTCATTATTATTAATACTATTATCACTCGTATTATTAGTGTTAGTATTAATCATATTAGTATTGCTCGTTTTCATGTTATTATCAATCAGTGTATTATTCATAGCATTCTTACTATTCTTATTCGTATTAGTATTACTACTATTAGTAGTATTATTAGTATCTTTATCAGTATTAGTATTATTAGTAGTAGTAGTAGTAGTACTAATCGTAATATTAGTAGTATGATTATTCTCATGTCCCTTATTATTAGTATTCTTCTGCGTAGTATGATTCATACTATTCTTATTACTCTTCTTTTTAATATTATTAGTATTAATATGTTTCTTAATATCATTAGAAATATTAGTATTCCCCTTCTTATTCTCATTAGTGTTCGTATTATTCGTCGTATTAGTACTCTTCTTTGTCTTATTATTATCCACATTCGCATTATTATTCTTATTCGTCATATCATTATTAGCATTAATATTCTTCTTCTTGTTATTAATGTTATCATTAGTATTACTAGTAGCGTTAATATCCTGCTCAGCATTCTTATTATTATGATCATTATAATTCGTATTGTTGTTATTCTTATGATTGCAAGTCTTGTTAGTATAACTACGCTTGCTATTATTATTCGTATTCCGTTTCCTCCTTCTCCTCCTCCTCCTCCTCCCCTTCCTCCTTCTCCTCCCTCCTCCTCCTCCTCCTCCCCTCCTCCTCCTCCATCCTCCTCCTCCTCCCTCCTCCTCCTCTCCTCCTCCTCCTCCTCCCTCCTCCTCCTCCTCCTCCTCCTCCTCCTCATCCTCCTCCTCCCGCTCCTCCGCCTCCCTCCTCCTCCTCCTCCTCCTCCTCCTCCTCCTCCTCCTCCTCCTCTTCCTCCTCATCCTCCTCCTCTTCCCTCCTCCATCCTCTTTCCTCCTTCTTCCTTCCTCCTTCCTCCTTCCCCACTCCCCCCCACACTCCTTACTCCGCACTCCTCACTCCTCACCCTTCACAACTCATAATCCACTCCTCACTCCTCAGTTACCACTCCTCACTCCTCACTCCTCACTCCGCACTCGTCACTCTTCAGTCCTCACCCCTCACTACTCACCCCTCACTCGTCATCGTCCTCCACTCACCCCTCACTCGTCATCGTCCTCCTCATATTCCTCTTCCTCCTCTTTATCCTCCCCCTCCTCCTCCTCCTCCTCCTCATCATCATCATCATCATCATCATCATCAGCAGCATCATCACCATCATCGTCACCACCACCACCACCATCAGCATCACCATCACCATCACCATGATCTTCATCTTCATCCTCAGTAGCACCCTCCTCATCCCCATCCTCCTCCTCCTCCTCATATCGTCTTCAGCATCATCCTCTTCTTCCTCCCCCTCCTCATCATCACCATGATAATCAGTATCATCATCTCCACCAGCATCATCGTCATCATCCTCATCATGCTCATCATCATGACCGGCATCACCATCACCATCATCATCAGCATCATCGTCATCATCATCGCGAGTCGCTGGCGCCACGCGGGTCCCTCCGTCCGCCGGCTAATCAGCGCCTCCTGCACGAGGTCGCCGAACCTGGAACCGCGCCCGGCGGAACTGCGCCGCGCACTGGGCTGGGACGAGGGGGGAGGAGGCAGCATCGACAGCAGCTCTCAGCCCGTTAAACCAAAAAGAAAGCGCGCACGACCACTTCAAGAATCTCAGGGGCGGGGCTGCACACACCAAGGCGGGCAACAGGGAGGGGGTGAAGAGGACGGCCTACGGATAGGTGTAACGGACCACTGAACGTGTCGCATTACCAGTTGTCAGTGAACTTATCAGGGGCTACACAACCTAGATTGCACGACGGTTATATCTGAAAGTAGTGTTCAATGGTCCAGGCCCTACACAGCGTTTTCAAAATTGCCGAACGCAAGGAAGGGGGGAGGGGGAGCATCACGGCTCGAAAACGTTGCCAATCAACATTCAGGATGTCGCCCCTATATTGGGGAAACCACTTCAGGAGCCTCTGGGAGAACGTTTCGGGGATCTTATCTAGGTACAGCGTGTCACGCATGGCCTCGTACGTGGCGTTTTGCGCATGCAACTGCTTGTCAGAGAAGGTCGGGTTGTCAATCCTACGCTGGCTGAAAGACCCGAGGGCAGCACCCCCAGCAATCCGGAACTTCGGATCCGAGGGAAATCCCAAACTCGCCCCCGACAAAATCGAAGCCACAAGATCTGATTCCAGAAAAGAAAGGAGAGAAGGCTACGGGCTACCCCAGGGACAGAGAGGCGATTGTCCGCGGCTTCCCGCAAGTCCCCGAGCACCGCCCCCAAGGCGTCAAAAGTTAACAGCGCTGCCCGCACGAGACCGGCAAGGCTCAACGCCTACATGCTGGTAAGAGGAGGCCCACCCCATTCCGATACCCGCATCCAATCAGCATACTTCAATCGAGAGCGCGGCATGCGAAATATCTACGATAACTGAACGAACTCCGACTTTCTCAACGAAGACGGGAGGCGAGAGCACTGCGAGACGTATGCGAGGACAGCGATGCACCGACGACTGCATGTACGAACCGCAATGTCGGTGGACATGCCGCTTCCAGCGACAGCTCGGCACCTTTCAATGCGCTTCCTCTGCGGGGCATGTCACTCCTCTCCACATGCTCCTGGGCCCAGCCAGACACGTAGATATTTTACGTCGTCGGCCATCTGGAACTGCTGCCACTCTGGGATATTCAACGCAATCTTTCTGGGAGATCCGACGCTTGAAGATGTCGCTAAACGTCTTGCCGAGCGGAACGATGACACGCTTAGCAGGCTTCAAAAAGAGGCGGGCGATCTCCTCCGCCGGGCGAACGAGAGCTCGGATCCCTCGGAGGTGCCCGAGGTCTCGAATCGCCATTCCTAGATCGTCCGCACACGCTTTCGCGCTGCCCTCCTTCGGCGGGCCCAGAGCCCCCGAATTCCCCGCGGGGAGAGGATCCATCCCAGCCGAGACAAGCAATCCCGATCCGGACCGGCCTGAATGACCCCACTGAGGATTTCAAGGAGCGGCGCCCGAACGCCCCCCAAGATCCCAAGACAGAGCACGTTCTCATAGATCATCTGGAAGTACTTATTAAAGAGGTCGGGGGTCACCATCGAGGCTGCCACCACCGCCGGTCACGCCGGGGACATCGAGGGGAACGCGCGCCCGAAGTCGAAGCGCGCGGCGCGCAAGGACGGGTTGCTTCCGGCGGGCCTCTAGACCTAGGATTCTGACACGAGCGCCCAGCTCAATCACATTACTTCAAAAACTTCGGCCCTGCACGAAGCCCCGCCGGTTCTCATCGAGGCCCGGCGGCGCGCGTCTCGCTGACGGCTGGCACGCAGCACTCGCGATGATTTTGTGGTCGGTGCCCTTCAAGCCTAACGGGCGGGCCTCTGAGGCCCCCCTAACAGCGACGGCCGCGTCGGCGGGGCCGTCTCCCCACGGCGCGAATGCCCCCAGCAGGCGGCGAAAGTCCGGGGGGCACCTTGCCGCTCAACGCGCGCGTCATGCTAGCATACAGGACATTCACTCCGCGCGGTGCTCTTTGCTAAGCAGCATAAAGTAGTCGGTCGGGCCCGGAAGCCGAATGTTGCACGCAGCCCAGCAGGGCCTTCAGCGAGTCATAAGCCGGGGGCGGAATGTCCAGAGCTTGCACGCGCGCAGGGCGGGCCTGCAAGAACTCGGCCGCCTGGCGGCGTCGAACGGCTTCTGTCCGAAAACGGGGGCCCAGCGCCCAACCCGGGCTGCGCGCGTCTGATCAGGCTGCGAGACCACCGCACCCGACGAGCCACTAATTCCAGAAAGGTGAACCCGCTTGTCGAGCGGGCCCCAG